CCCGGCTAGGCCAAAGCTTGATTGCGCGAAGCATCGCAGGGGTCATCCACCACACCTGGGTACTTCCCATTAGCACTGTCTTGTGTCAGTTCATGCCCAATGTAGATACCTTCTGAATCTGGTTTTGACAACTCCGGGGCATACGCCTATGCGAGAAGGACCCGTTGAGTGAACGCGCTTGTTGCTAGACCTGGCAATGTCAAAAGTACCGAACGTCACATCACAAAAGCATTGACAAGAACATAATTTGCAGATTTACTCTGACATTTGGTATATGTAGACTAGCTGATCATGATCGTCATGCCACATATCAGCGGTACTGCACCCTGCAACTCATATGCAAGGCCCTAGACCACCGCGAAAGAGAAGTCGTTTTCGCGTCATATCGTGAAGCGTGAATCGTTGACCCGAGTACTCAGCCTGGAGCCGTGGAGACGCAGGCGATGAAAGCAAGCCGCATGGAGCAGGCTAGCTAAGCACTTTTGGAAGAAGGTGAAGGGCTTTGGAGAACCAAAGCAGCTTACCAGGCAGCGGCCTTGTCGTCGGCGTCGGCATCAGCAGAGAAGCCTCCTCCACCTCCACCGAAACCGCCGTCATCGCCACCGAATCCAGTGTCAGCGGCAGCCTCTCCACCGAAGCCAGTAGCCTCAGCGTCGAAACCTCCCGCGTCACCACCGCCAAAGCCACCACCAAGACCGTCATCAGACTCATCGTCAGTGCCGTCGTGCCACTCGATAGTGTTGGGATCCTCGGGCACGTGCTCTTGGAGAAACTCTGGAATTGCCTGCTTGCTCTCGCACAGAATCTTGCAGAGGTCTTCGCCAATATCTTCGTTGCGGTCGTTGAAGAAGGACGTCGCCTTGCCCTCATTACCGATACGCGCGGTACGGCCGATGCGGTGGATATACTCAGTAATGCCGTCATGCATGGTTGACGGAAGATCGTAGTTGATTACATGCTTGACGTTGGCGACGTCCAGACCACGCGCAGTGACTCCGGTAGCGACGAGAATGGGGCAGCGGCCGGTACGGAATGAGCGAAGAGCATCTTCACGCTCACGCTGTGTGCGGTCTGAGTGGATCGAGGTGACAGGCATTCCCTTGTTGTACAGGAAGTCATCGACCATGTCGCACTTCACCTTGGAGTTGGTGAAGACGAGGGTGCTGTAGTGACAGAGTTAGCATCTTGCGCTCGTCGTAGATGTCAGAGGGGATTGTACGTACCGCTGAGGGCCTTCGCTGAAGATCAAGTCAAACAGTGCCTGGCTCTTGGCGCTCTCCTCGGCGAAGATGACTTGCTGTGTTATGTTTTGGTGGGTGCTGCCAACCCTACCGACCTCTGTATATTGTCAGTGGGCTATTCGTTAAGCAGGGGAGATGAAAACATACTGATACGAACGCAATCCTCATCCATGTATTCACGTGTCAGACGACGAGCTGACTTGGGGAATGTGGCGGAGAACATGAGATACGTGTGGTCGGCGTCGTCGTTCTGGTCTAAGCGGTTGTCAGTAGATGATACAAAAGCTGATCGAGCAAGTAATTCTTGGAAGTCCATGCTGGGGAGGATGTGTCGACATACCTGAACCAGCGAACAACTTCTCCATGGCCTCTTCCCAACCAGAAGAAAGGAGCTCGTCAGCCTCATCGATTACGGTGAACCTGTTCGTGTCAGTCAGTTATGAAGCACCTTACAAGATTGCTTGACTTACTTCAGGCGGTTGAAGGACAGCAGGTTGATGTTGGACATGAAGTCCATGAGGCGACCCGGAGTCGCGATGAGAATGTCACAGCCCATCTCGAGCTGTTCCCGCTGATTCCTGCTGGGGGCGCCACCGTAGATGACGCAAGGACGCAGCATAGTGCGGTAGCACACTAAACGGAGGGTATGAAGTCAGTATGTGTCTCACATGAATATCGTACTGGGGTACCTACGACGACGCGCCTCGTCAAAGATCTATCACGAAACCAGGTCAGTATACGTTCAGCATGTAGTTCATATGATGGAAACTTACCTGACAAGCAAGCTCACGCGTAGGACAGACGACCAGGACGAGCGGCTCCGCACGGACTTTGTCGGTGAGAGGGTTGTAGCGGACCGGGTTCGGGCGCGGAGCAGCGAGTTGACGGGCCTTGCCCATGAGCTTGGACAGGATCGGAAGGAGGAACGCAGCAGTCTTGCCGGAACCTAGGCAATGTTAGTAAGAAGCAGAGTGAGTGAGGACGAGGCGACTTACCAGTCTGTGCAACGGCAACAACGTCGTGTCCAGTCAGGATAGCAGGGATGCAGTAGGACTGGATCGGAGTCGGGTACTTGTACTGGCACAGCTTGACGTTTTCAAGCATGATCGGGTGGAGACCTGCATCTTCGAACTGATACAAGTTAGCAATGGAGTACGCGAAGACCTTCAGGCCCAAAAGTTGCAGTGACTTACGTTGCGGACGGGGCTGATCTTGGTGGGACCAGAGAGAGTCACGTCGAACGAGAGCGCCTTGATAGCACCGCCGGCGCGCTGGAGATACTCATCGGCGAAGAGCATCTTCTCGAGCTCGGGGTTAGGCTCTCCAACATCGCCGAACTCGTCGTCCCACTGGTAGATCGCGGCGTCAGAGAGCCAGACGGCGGTGTCTCGGGTCTCATCTTCAGCGGGTGTGCCACCGACGACGGTGTCGTAATGGAAAGGAACAGGATTGTTCCATCCGGCTTCCTGGGCGCGCGCAAGATCTTGAGCCTGCTGCTCCTTGCGGGCAGCGCCGGCGTCGGTCGCAGTCGCCTCAGGAGCTCCTGCGTCAGACATGACGATAAGGGGAGAAGGTAGAGTGTGTAGAAAGTGTAGCTATTGCTTGAACGAGGCTGCTGGTTGCAGCGTGGGTGAGAGTTGGGGATGCGGGGTAAGGGAGTTGGAGGTGGTGGGGAGAAAAGCTTGCGTTGTTTATATGGACAGAAAGGGTAGGAGCTGTGCGCAGTAGCGTCCCTTAGCGCGCTTTCCAAAGGAGATACTGGTGCCTGGGTGACCACGACGATAAGCGAGAGACCAGAAGCTTCCACATTTGAGGTGAGTGAGGATAGGTGAAGGAGATAGTTAAGGGACTGCCAATATCTGTCCTGCGGTATCAAGATGATATCGACGCACTGTACGATGACGCAGTAGTTTCTGGCAGCTGTGACGAGTGGACTGTCATCCCGGATCAAGCATGAACGACGCGACTCAAATTGAAGAAGTAACAGGCCATATGAAATGCGAGCTCCTATATCTTGCACGCAGGTATAGCGGTGAAGTGACGCTCGAAGTGATAGCCCCAAGTGAGAATAACAGTGAGAATCATGGAGATGGCGAGCCTCGCATGAAAGATGCTATCAGACTGAAAGTGATGTTTTGGTGGGCATGCAGATCGATTCATAACAGTACACGTCTGACATGCTCCTTTCCGTTTTCTCACACAACAGCAACGTGGAAGAATTGTTGCTGAGAGCAGCGAATAACTATTGGCTCCATTTCCTTTTACTTTAAATGAAGATGTACTTTTCTGCCTCTAGAACACGTGACAGTCAGGGCGCTTTGCGAATATGAGGACTGAGAAGTGACTTGACAATGGATTGGGAGATGTCGATAAGAATAGAAAGGATGCAACGGGAGATCTTCTTACATGTGCACACGTACTGAACCTATTATCGCCTGATTCACATTCGTCACAAGGTCAGTGTTGTCAAGACTTCGCTTCGTCTCACAAGTCGTTGTGTAGGACCAACTTACATTTCGATGCATCACACGTAGCCCAGACGGGCCTGTCTGCACATAGCACGACTCTGTAGTGAATGTTACCTGTGACGTGTAAGACCGTCCGGAATCGCGGCCGCAAGAAGTCGTAAATATGTGAAGAGATGCAGAAGACGTCTGCAGCAGTCGTCGTCAAGACGTGACCCACGGAGGACACTATGCCGGAACCGAGCTGGTGTACCGTGCCTGAATCATGCATGGCGGGCCGACTGAACCACACACGCGATGACGCGCCCTGCATGCCGACTCCAACTTTGCTCATAGCCGTAACGTTCGTCTTCTTGACCATGACTTCCGGGATCGCGACGACAGAATGGTCATTGTCGGCTATACGTTCTGCGGTACACAGGGGAAGGCGCTACTGACAGACTTCTCCGCAGCTTCCTGAGCCCCTCGATCGCTCTTACGACCGCGACCGCACGACCGCCTCTACGACAGCGACACACATCGGCCGCGTGTGCCATGATAGAACACTATGATGCTCTCACTACTATGCTGCTATTTTCGCGATCTCGACACCGCCGACAGCAGCTTCGACAGCCGCCACGGCGCCGGCTCAGACGCGCATGCCCACATGCATCGGCGGTGCCTTGTCGTCGGTCATATACACCTAGAGCCTTCTGTAGAACCATGGGACTTCAGCTGACAGACAGGGCTGTGGCGCGATGATTTAGCGTCGAGAAGGCACACGATACTCCGGCGTACTCCAACGTGTCGACGACACCACGTAGCTGCACATGCTCCAGCAACTAGAGCGATAATGTATGATTCTACCAAACTGCGGAGTGCAAGCACTATTCGCCAGCAGGGCACCCGCCGCCTCAAGAGCGACCGAAGCTTCTCGTTGAAGAACCCACATCATGGGGATACCTCGCCCGAAGGCCTCTAGCCCGACATGCGAAGCTACACGCTCGAAGAGAGAGGGAATAACAAGGACACACAGCCATGACGATGCGCGCTCTCTTTCTATACGAGAGGCCCTCTCTCGCATCCGTCGTGTTGGAAGCCGGCCACTGCATTGTGAGCCGCGAAGTCCAAGTCCTTTGAGCCGCCGAAGGATACAAAACGTTCCGGAGGCCCCAGTCTCAGCTCCAGAATCTCGCTCGTATGCTTCGTTCAACTGAGCGTTTGTCAGCTTTGTTTGTCATGCGTGTTTCAAGAGGATGTTGTCTCCCCACCAATGGAAAAGCATTGATTTCTTTCACGTCGATGTGGTATGGGCTTACTTGTTGCGCTTCCATTTCGCAGGCGGTTTGCCCCAGCCTCCCAAGAGGTTGCTGTAACGACGTGGATCCATGTTCGGATCCCACAGCGATTCTCCAGGACGGAGCGGCATGTACTGCTCGTCGCCCCTGGGGCCGTCGGGAACCGGCTTCTTCCTCTCCACCTCTGCAAGACGAAACGGCGGGTATCGTTCCTTGACCTTGGGGACGGTAGGGGCCGCCTTCTTCACCACCACCTTCTCCGCCTCTTTCGCCGCTGCCTTCTTTCGCTCCGCCTTCTCTTGTTCCGCCTTCTGTCGTTCCTCCCTCCTTGCGAGGGTGACGCTGGTAGGCTCGAAGCCGCCCAAGTCGAAGCGCTTGGTCTTGCCGTCGACGAGACGGTTACCGAGAAACATAGCGCCGTGGTGCGCGGAAGATCTTGAGCTGTCCATCTGATGTTACGTTAGCGTTACTTAAAAGTCGCGGGGGTTGAACCTTACCACGGCGGAGACGTGCGATGCAGATATATCTGTTATTATATGTTAGTATGCTATTAGGTCTTTGTTGAGCTTCTCCCTAAAGCAGGTAGCATTGTAGTCATAGGTAGACTGCTACTCCGCCGTCATGCTTGTGTATGCTCGCGACGGCGCGACCGTGGCCTGATCGAATATCTCGAGGCGACTGCGAGACAGTCGAAGAACATTGAGAGACTTACGGGTACTTATGTGTCGGTAGCTGGGGTCCTTATTATAAATGTGGCGTTGAGGGTAATGCGGTGACTGTGTTAGGAGCACGAAGCAACAGGCAGATCTGCCTGGAAATGCTCGGACGATCTGTTTGCACCTCCGCACTCACCCCCCATCACCTTTTACCTTGCCACCTCCTAGGAGCAGTGCACGCGACGCCACTAACCGCTGATGCACACGAGATCTTTCTTATTCATTGAGCCAGTTCGCCTCTCCGAAGGCTGTCCTCGGATACCGATCGATGTCCCCAGCTTGCGACACGTCTCAGACGAAACCGCTGTTCAACGAGGTCGCGAAGGAAGATAGCAGCAGGCCGAGTCATGCTCACCTGATGTCTCTCGAGACAGTCGGTCATCCAACGAGCATGGGCTTGAACAAACAATTGAGGGGTCAAGGCGGAGATAGAGCAAACTGCCAGCCCGTTCATTAGCTGCCCGAGTCATAGTATTGGTAATTGGAGAAGGTAAAATGTCCTCGAGCTCGACAGACTGTCCTTAGTAAAGCCTGCAAGAAGTATCGCTGTAAAGCACGCCCCTCGATTTTCTGATATGCTAGGCCATGTCACAGCGCCCGCATAGATATATAGGCATGTAGTCCCCTGTGTTGTCACTTGCTCAAGTCTACATCTACTGTTCCTTCGATATATTCTTCCAATAACCCTAGGGGCTATGCCTTCTGTTTCTCCTTCTGACATGTATCCCGTCGACACAGTAAGCTTCTACTTGTGTAGCGTGCAATGGGCTGGCGAGCAATGTCAAGCTCGAAGGCGAGCTCATTATCTAACGCTTGTGGATTGCTGCATAAGATCTGCAGCATAGTTCTACAAAAAGACGTTGCGCATCACACACATGCAAATGCCTAGAGAGCTAGACACGTAGCCGAGTCAGCCGCTAAACGCGAGGCTGTCACGCATGTAGTTTAGGCGAGCTTCTACAAAGTCGTTACCCTATGAATTTCGGGCCGACATGGTATTCTAGCAGTACATCATACCAATGCATTCCGCCGTCCATCGTAACAATTCTACGTTCAATTTTCCCTGATGTTGTGCTTGAAGCCACCCGAAATTGGTGGCTTGTTAAAGTTAGCGAGACCTACGTCATCACTCCCTGACTTCCCTGGCGTTGTCCACGCGACAACCCGCGCATCTTGGTTATCTCACATGCACGCCCCTCGTGCACATACCTGCAGGAGATCTCCAGATCTCCAGATTTGATTTTCTTCTCTTTACACAACATGCACCCAGACTCGTTGTTGTCTACTGCAGTCCTCACCACACTACCAATTGACTGACAATGAATGACCCCGGCCTCGACGAGCCAGCAGGCGCAGCAGCGCAAGATGTTAATGACACAGTCCACGACGAGGACGAACAAGCCGAGCAGGAAGAGCGGGAATATCTCGATCCAAGTTATGTCGCTCAGTACACCGACATCGTTTTGCGTACGCTGACAAACCCAGTCAATGGTGGTTTGCCTCCACAGCGAGTCCCCTCATAGCAGGAACATTCGGCCCCATCGCCAACGGCTTCTCCATCTGCGCTCTCGTAGAAAAATGGCGAGTATACATCCCGCCCGGAAGCGACGAGGGACACGGCTCGAAGATTACCGATCCGAAATGGCTTATCGCGGTCAATTCGGTCTCGCTCGTCTTTGCGCTGAGCGCGAACATCAGTTTGCTACTCAATATGTCAAGACGATTAACGTTTGAGATTGCGCAACCTATCACCATTATCGGCTTCTATCTGGCTGGTTTCTTTTTGATGGCGCTCGTGGGGGTTGCTTCGTCATCTGTGTTCCGGATTCAGCCTATGGAAGAACATGCTCTCAGCCAAGCGTATTACTACGCTATCATCGCTGCGGGTATCTATTTCATCATCGCATCTCTTATGGCCTTTACTGCTTTCGGAGCGTGGAAGGGACATTACGCTAGAGACTTCCGGCTGACAGCCAGTCAGAGAACGCTGATGCTACAGACCATCGCCTTCATGGTCTACCTGCTTATCGGCGCTCTGATATTCTCCTACGTCGAAGGCTGGATGTTCCTGGATGCAGTGTTCTGGGCGAACTTTACCCTTCTCACGATAGGTTTCGGCGGGGAGTTTGTGCCTAAAACCCATACTGGTCGCTCACTCCTCATTCCTTACGCGATTGGAGGTCTAGTGACGGTCGGTTTGGTCATTGGTTCTATTCGATCCCTCATTCTAGAGCATGGAAAGCAAAAGATGGCTGCTCGCTTTATGGAAGTCAAGAGACAAAAGGTTCTCAAATCTATCGATGGCGACACACAAACAATCCGCATCTCACTATGGGAGAAGGTTGAGTTCTCCTCAAAGGGCTTGACAGAAGCACAGAGACGAGAGCAAGAGTTCCACATCATGCGCCGCGTGCAAACACTATCCGAGCGCAAAAGGCGATACACCGCCTTAGCCCTATCAACCACAGCCGCAATGCTACTATGGTTCCTAGGCGCTCTAGTATTCATGTACTCCGAAAAGCCGCAAGGTTTCAGCTACTTCGTCGCCCTCTACTACGCCTACGTCTCGCTCCTAACGATCGGCTACGGAGACTACGTGGTCGAAAGCAATGCCGGAAAAGCCTTCATGGTCTTCTGGAGCCTCCTCGCCGTCCCCACACTAACCATTCTCATCTCCAATATGGGCGACACGGTCATCAAAGCCTTCAAAGACTTCACCATCTGGCTCGGCTCCCTCACCGTCCTCCCAGACGAAGAAGGCCTCAGCGCCGCGCTCAAAGTAGGATGGACGCGCATCAAATCTGGCAAGATTGGCGAAGAAGAAAAGGCAGGCTACCGCAACGACTCTGCCGGTTCAACCGAGCACCGCACAGAAGACAGACTAGCAGCCTACATCGAAGAAGAAGAGCTGGGGCAAGCAGAGAAGGCGGGCGAGCACGGCGACTACCTCGAACGCGACATCCGCTTCTACCACTTCGTCCTCGCAAAAGAAGTCCGCAAGCTGATGAAAGACGTCGAAAGTTCGTCGTCCAAACAATACGAGTACCACGAGTGGCAGTACTACCTCCGCCTCATCGGCCAGGACGAAAACGATCCTTCGCACCACCGCCAGCCCAAAGCGAATACTCCGCATAAACATGACGATGGTGAAGCTCCTGATATCGGCTCTGCGGATGATGGGAAGAAGCATGCTTGGAGTTGGCTGGGGATAAGGAGTCCGCTTATGGGTAATCAGTCTGAGCCGCAGTGGTTACTGCAAAGGTTGGCGATGAAGTTGGAATCAGAGATGCGCAATATGAGTTCGTCTGACGAGAAGGTGAGGAAGGCGAAACCACCCATCTCCATGGCTGAGTTGAGGAAGAGGAAGGGGAGTGGGAAAGTATCGGAGGAGACGCAGACGAGGACATTGCAGGAGGATGTTGAGGCGACGGCGGTTAGTCAACGGGCTGTCAAGAGTGGTTAATTGTGGAAAGGGGGGTGACAATGGTAGCAAGGATGTATATTCTCATGATTAGAGCTTTGAAGTTAGATTCGATGACAAAGTACGGGGATGAAGTACGAGAATAACGTATTTTCGGTAATGGGCCATCAGAAACACGAGACCTTCAATCAAACACAAAGCAGTGCGAACACATCATGCGAGAAGATAACATGAGCGACTTGGTGGCCTTGGGCCCAACAATCATACTTCAACTAACGAAACGACACTAAACAATACAAACAGAATCATGCTTTGACAACATCATCAACCCAGCGCAGTCCTCCTCCTTTACTCCGACAAGTCAGAGACAACTCAGAGATCACGCAGCTGTTGGCGCTTTGAGTAGAGGGTGGTGTAGGGCGTGGGTGCAGATCTTCCGACGACAGTGACCGTGTCGCAGGGTGGCTCGGGGGCGACGGTGACCGTATCGCAAGGTGGCTCGGGGTCGACGAAGACGGTTGTGGTTGTGATGGAAACAGGTGCGGGGGTGGTGGTGCAGGGTGGCTCAGGGTCGACGTAGACAGTTTTGATGGAGTAGGGTTCGGTGGTGCAAGGCGGCTCGGGGGCGGCGAATATGGTTGTGGTGACGGCCGCAGGAGGGAACTTATGAGTGACGGTGACCATAGCAGGAGCCGAGATGGTGGTGATAGTAACCACGGGTTGAGAGCCAATGACCGTGACGACGGACGGAGGAGCGACGGTGACGATAGACGGAGGAGCGACGGTGACGATAGACGGAGGAGCGACGGTGACGATAGACGGAGGAGCGACGGTGACGATAGCCGGAGGATACACCGTGGAGGTGCTGAAGATCACAGAGACAGTAGAGTAAGGGAGTACGACAGTCTTCGTCTCTGGAGTGGCGTCGATGTACTGCACTTGCTGCTTCGGAGTGCACTTCTTCATGTCTTCCTTGGGTTTTTGGATTCGGACTTCTGACCCCTTCGATCCACGCTCCTCCCATTCAGCATCTGCGCACATCTCTGTGCCAGGATACCACGGATGGGTGAATCTGACGGCCCTGTGGAATGAGCGGCGTTCTAGATCGGCTTCCTTCTGGCCGAGCGTAATGGTCTGCATTGGCTGAATTGGGTTGCCGCCGATGACCGTTGTAATCGCATGCCCAGCGGTTACTGTAACGACTGACACGCTGGTGATCGCTGCGCCCTGGGTTACCGTGACATCTGGAGTATGTGTGACGGTGACGGTTTCGTTGGGATCAGGTACCGGGCCCTCGCATGAGACGGGGTTGTTCGGTCCAGAGCGGCACTCGAACTTCCACAGATTGTCATGAGCCTTGGCGTAGCATTCGTAGCAGATGACCGCCTGGGACCAAGGGTGCTTCATCCATACACCAATCCGAGGGCCCTTCCACTTGCTCCTGCGGCGTGGCTCCAGAGCATGGGCCTCGGGCTGAGGGTCGGAGCGACGCTCGCGCGGGTAGTGGCTGTCTTCGACATAGGCGGTTACGGTATGGGGCCGAGAGCTAGGAAGCACGGTTCCGTAATGCATCGGGGTGATAGTCTCTATGGAGGTCGGCATGAGGAAGGGTCTTAGCGGGATGATCTCCGTGGGGTTCGGGATGATAGTCTCGATGGAGGTGGGGACAGTCCTCTTCGTAGAGTACAAAGTCTTGGTGGAAGTCGTCAAGATAGTAGAGACGTAGTTGGTAAAGGAGCTGCCGGCGTGCATCCATGTTGTGAGATAGCCGACAATCCCAACCTCGGTGACCACGGTGGAAGTTGTGATCGGTTGCTGAATGATATAGGTGCTATTCGGTTGCGGAAGTACGGTGGTGACGGTGATCGTTTGCGGACGTACGGTGGTGACGGTGATCGTTTGTGGAAGTACGGTGGTGACGGTGATCGTTTGTGGATATACGGTGGTGGTGCTGGTCAGTTGCGGAGGTACGGTAACGGTGGTTGGTACCACCACGACGGTAGTCGTAAAGTTCTCTGACTTCGCTTCTCGACATCCAAACATCATGGAGAGAAACTGTTCGGGTGGTGACAAGCACTGATCGATGGCCCCAGGGAGTCCTTCGGCAATTGATGGGTAGCCTGCGCAGCCATGATGCTTGTATGTGGCGACCCAGCACTCTTGCTGTCCGAGGTTGATCTGGTTGAGCCAGTCCTGGTGCTTGTTCGTGGAAGGCCTCATGCTGTTGGCGCCGCTGACAATGTCGTGACACTTGTTGGGTTTGAGGTCCTCGTTGCCGCCGATAGTTGGTCCATTGCAGTCGTCGCTGGTGAAGAGGTACGTGCGTATTTCGCTCTTGATCTTGGCCTGGGCGAGGGGAGATAGGAGTGCGAGGACTGCACTCGCGACGACGAGGGTGGAGCGAGGCATGGTCGGGGAGCTCTGATTTGTGTCAGTGAGGGTTCATACTGTATTGGAGGAGAGAGGAGAGAGGAGAGAGGTGAGGGGACATACCGGCAGTGGAGTTCGACCGCAGCTCAGTTCGACGATGACAGCTCAGATCGGTAAGAAGGATCGACTATGTGCGTCAGCACTTGTTGGTGTAGAGTAAGACGAGGCGACGTACTCAACTAGTAGGCAGAATAGGAGTTCGACTGAAGCTGTAGTCCAAAGGTATAATGTGACCCTGTGGTGTGTCAGTATACATGCTCTGGGCAGCATCGGACGCATGAGGGAGTTGAAGTGTCTGGGGTGCCGACGTGGTGCAAGCCAAATGCGAGGACGAGAAGCAATAGAGAGACGTACCAACTGAGTAGAAAAGCGGTGCAAGAGAAGCAACTGTCCAACGGTACTGTTGCTGTTGAGTGGTTGGGTGAAGAAGAAACGGAGAGACGGGTGAGGAAGTGGGATTATAAGGGTCTCGGAGACGCGCTAAAGCCATATCTCGGTCTTCGTCACCGATTTGTTGTTAAAGAAGGTAGCTTCTGTGGGTTGAGGAAGGTACACAGTACATCTCGTGTGGTTGCTGCGCTTGGTGTGGTAGAATGACGAGGTTGAGGCGTCTGCGAACGATTGAGCTGGGCAGGAAGTCAGCAAGCAAGGCAGTCGCACTCGATGCTACGGCAAGACGCACCGCAATGCTGGATTGACGACGGAAGAACACTGGACAGATATAGCAGCGACATATCTAAGGATGTCGTCACACTCGTCGATTTTCTCAGGCATCTCCGTCTCCAGTTCCTCAGAGATGTACGAGCGAACAGAACGATTTGCTTACGTAGTAGAGAAACGGCAAATAGCTTCGAGTGTTATTTCGTGTTGCAGTGGCGTGACAGCCAGATTTAGCTGAGGAAGGTGGCCAGGTGAGATGAGATCGCAGCAGAGGAAGGCATGAAAGTGGCGAGAGTGACTGCTGGGAAGGTACAGTCTCGACAGCGATCATGGGAAGGAGCGGACTAGAGATGCTTCGCAAAACCCTAGAAGTCGTAAGCTTGTTGAAATGAATGAGAAAAAGATATAATGCATAGCGATTGTAGTCGAGAATCAACAGAAAAGACTCTTCACAAAACCGATAACAATACTTCCCATTCTTTGTCTAACCACCAGCATACCCAACCCACACAGTCCCGAGCCACACACGCGTATCCAACGCCCAAACGCCTCACCACACCAATCAACCCCTCATCAAGATCTCCCTCACCACTCCCCCCACTCATCATCCTTCTTCGCCCCTCCACCTCCACCTCCACCCATCCCCCCACCAGCACCCCCCTTCTTCATAGCACTCGTCCCAATGCCACTCGGCTTCTTCCCTGCCATTCCACCACCACCACCCGCCCTAGCTTCCCCCGCACTCCCAAACTCATCCCAAAAGTCCTGTTTATCCTTCGCCGGCCCCGCTGGCGCCGCACCAAAGCTCTCCCAAAAGTCTTTACGTTCAGGTTCGCGCTGACCCGACAACGGGGCCCGAGAAGAGGAAGAAGAAGAAGGGTGTGCAGAGTCGCCTCCTTCGACGAAGCGCGTGAACTGTGTGTTTGCGTTTGCGACGCCGGATTGGAGGGTCTGGCCGAGGGTGCCGGCTGTGGTGCGGGCTTGGGTTGCGAGGTCTGCTTCTGCGAGCTGGAGTATGATATGTTAGTCTTTGTTGTGGGTTATGGGGGTTCTTGGGTGGAGGGGAGATGTACCTTTGCCATACCAGGTTTCACCCAGCCTTCATACCCCGTTTTGCCTACTTTGCTCACGCTTGCGCCTAGCCAGCCAAAGCCCTTGGTAAGCGCCGCAACAGGGTCTTTCTGGAAGTCGTCCAGCGCAGGAGGCGCACCCGGCTCATCGTCCTTCTTCCAGGCATCTGGCTCGCTGCCGAAGCCGCCGTATTTTCCGCCTTGGTTCGGCGCAACGCCGTCTGGTCTGTTGGCGTTCTCCTGGCCCATCTTAGCGAAGTAGGCTTCGTTCTTCACTTTCTGACTAGACATGGCGTTGGTGCCGAGGGCGGGGGAGCCCGAGCGCTGGAAGCCTGCGTCGTTGCTTCGTGTCTTTCCGAGGGGTGTTTGGCTTCGGCTTCCGGCTGCGCTGGCGCGTCCGCTCAAGGGCGCGCCCATGCCCGCTGTAGATGCATTGTCCTTTTTGGGTAACCGCTTGGGTAGGTTTGCCTTGTCGAACTCCCTGTCCTCGACCTTACAGCTGAGTCTCTCCTTCCACTCGTCGCCCGCTTCCGAATCGTATCGCTCTGATATAGACGAGGCCTCGAATGTGCGTCCGTCTTTCGTATTCGAAGGATGTGTGTTGAAGAAGTCTTGGAAGGGCTTGTTGCCGCCGGCAGCCATGCGCACGAGTTCCGAGCCCTTGAAGGCGTCCATGGTGATACTGCGGATGAAGGAGATGTGCACACCCAGACCGCGGTGCACGCCCGAGCAGGAGAGGCACATGAAAATACCGAGCTTGGGCGAGGCCTAGGACACTTCATCTTAGTAGGTGTAGTCGGTGATCGCGTGCGCAGGTGGAGGAAGGGCGGTTGCATACCCATTGCGGACTCGGCGCATTGCAGTCGACGCACTTGTTGTTGTCGTTGGTCTTTTGTATCTCGAGCAACTGCGTACGGAATTAATTAGCCTCTGTCATATGCGCATGCTCGACTCATCACCTGTGCTGCCTTCACGCCGCAATTGACCCCTAACGTCCCCCTCCTTCAGCTGTGGAAGGCGCAACGTACCTTACTTCGCGTCTCCGGATCCACCTCCCACATTTTACTCATGATGGGCAACCGAGAAACTGTGCGATTGTAGTGGAATAGAATGTGAGGTCTGGTCCCAGGCTGGGGGAACGTGGACGGGGTCGGTGTTGCGGTCGAGATTCAGGGTACGTGGGCCTAAGAACGCGTGGCGCGTGTGCAGTTGAGCCTCACAGGGATCTGCGTGATTTGGGTATCCACGCAGTCAAGTGCACCACGTCTGATGCTGTCGCTTTTGTCGCAACATCATTTCTATATTTTTTCGTCTGCCTCAGCGGACAACATGTCATGGATATGTTGAAAAAAATGGCACCGTGAAATCGTGGAATAGGCTAATTCGGTAGTATTCTTGTAACGCATGCTAAGCAGCATGTACGCAGAAAGAGAATCAGCAGTCTGTATAAAAGAAGCAAAAACAACGGTGTCTTAGCAGTAGAGACGGGTGGGATAAGCCTGCATTCAACTGCACTTCCTGACCTCAACCAACTCCGCGTTGCCGACTACATTACGTCCTCGCATGCTACCTAATATCCTACTTGCACCTACAAGGGAAAAAAAAAAGCCATATATCCTTCCAGTCCCCAGAACTCCACATCCCTTCCTCAACCTCCAATCCACCGATCCATCAATCCATCATCACCATCACATCAACACACATCCCTCCTGGCGGCCCCCTCGCCGCAAGATGCCAATCTCATCCTCGATATCCTGCCTCGTCAACGGGCGACCTCCGCCAGGTTGAGGACCCAAGGCTGGCTGCGCATCGTCATCATTGTCGTGATCGTTATCAGACTGTCCATCGGTAGTTGAACCCGTCATCCTCATCCTCCTCCTCCTCCTCCTCCTCCTCACTGTCATACTGATCTTCCGGATTGAAATGAGGCATACCAGGCAACTTGAACATCCGCTCCTGAGCCATCATTGTTTTCATCTTTTCCTCGATCTCTTGTAGGGTCAGGTTGCTGGCGCTGGGTAGAGGTTCCATGGCTGGCGGCGGATCATTGTCGTTGTCGTTGTCGTTGTTCGAGGCGTCTTCATCTTGTTCGGCATCGCTATCGTTCGACCCTTCTTCTTCTTCCTCTTCATCATCATCTTCTTCCTCATTTTCCGCATCCCCGCCCTCCGGTCTATAACCAGGCATACCAGGCAAATTGAGGATCAGTCCCTGACCCATCATGATCCTCATCTCATTCTCGATATCCTGCATGGTAAGCGGGCGGCCGGGGCCAAATTGAGTGTTCGAGCCTTCTTCTCCATCATCTCCATCCTCCTCGTCATCGTCGTTTGTTGGCTGCATACCAGGCATACCCGGCATTCGTCCCTGAGCCGCAAGAATGCCCATTTCCTCCATGATGTCTTGCATATTCAGCGGTCGGCCACCAGCACTGGGGTTAGGAGTCTCGTCGTCGTCATCCTCATCTTCCCAGTCGTCCCCATCACTGTCTTCCCCGTCCTCATTGTCATCTTCCTCTTCCTCATTATCATCACCCTCTTCCTGATTATCATCTTCCTCATCACTATCCCAAACATCGCCATTCAGCTCATCCCCCCTATACGAGCTCCCAAACCGTGCCACCCACGGGTTCTCCCCCTCACCCTCAAAGTCCTCCAGAAGATGCACCCAGACATAGTCTTCTTCAATCTTGCTCGAAGCACCAACGCGCGTTTTGGTGTACCAACGCTCAGAGTCGCCTATAGTATCATGTTCCGACACAATCCTCACCCCTACCTGCGCAAACGCAGACTGGAGGGCAGCGATGCGGGTCTGGCACGGGAAGGTGCCTAGTTGCGGGTGCCAGCCAAAGAACGTAATAGTTCCGAGATCAGGGAGGAGAGTTTTTATAGCAGAGCCCAGGGTGAGCAAGACATCGAAGAAGGTTTCCGTCACGTCGTGATAACCCGTCTTGGTTGAGATGCGCAGGTTTTTGAGATGCTTGGGCAGGTTCCCGAGGTTTCGTTGGAGCGACTCGGCGAGGAATTCCTTGGTAACGGAACGACAATGAACTTTTTCGTAGAAGATGGACGTGGTCATTTGGAAAGTCTCCACGTTCTCCAAGCCGCGCAGTTGTTCAAGCGCGCCTGGGTTCATCACTAGACGGTCGTCGTCGATGGCCATGTTGTTGAGGGACGCACAGTGGCTTCCGATGGCTTCGAAGAGCGTTTGTACGTCTCTGTTGTGCTTCTTGATCGAACCCCCGCCGCCGCTGAACTCGTAGTCGAGTAATTTGAGGTTTTTGAGGCTTTTCAGCAAGCGGGCGAGATCGAATATGTCGGTGGTAGTATGAGAGATTTCCAAATGCTCAAGATTCGATCCTTCTTTTTCCAGTCGTGCCCAAACGAGGTTGATGGCTTCCAATTCGGCGTCCTCGTGTAGAGTGGGTGCCAGTAGATCGGACATGATCAGCGTTTTCATCTTCGGCAGCAGAAAAAGCGGAAGGAGGTTTACAACGTTCGCTCCGCCGTCGAGTATCACCTTCTGTAGGTTTGTGCCAATCTTACCGACCAGCGATTGCACGAACCACATGCTTTCAGATCCCCACCGCTTCGTGGAGATGCAAAGTTCCTTGACGTTCGGCGTAAACAACATGAACGTGCTGAGATACAGATCGCGTTCTGTACGAAGACGCATCCAGTTATTCACCTCCACCAATTTGCCAGTGAGAAAGGTAGCATGTCGTGGCCACGTTGCGGGGAAGGGAAATCCCACTTTCTCCTTGATTTGATCGAACTCGGCTTCCGTGATCCAACGGGGGAACTCGAAGGCACCTTCATCATGGATGGGACTGTTCCACTTGATGTGCTGAACGCATCGCTGGAGATTGGGATTCGATGCAAGCGCTCGGATGAACAACGATGTGTAATGATAGTAAAGCTCGTAATGGGAGTATATGATATCGTTGGCAATCGCATGCAGCTTTCTGTTTGTGTAACTGACGCTCAAAAGATCCCTGCGGTCATCGCGGAGTAACTCGACGATCTCGGCGAGAACTTCTGTTGGAAGTTTATCCATCCTGAGGTTTGGGAGGGCAATGGTGACAAGTAATCGGTTGAAGAGATTGACTTTAAGCTGAACGTGTAAGATGCGACAGGTCGTGCTAGGTGTCTCCTTCCTTCGCGCCTTAGCGCCTTGGCGGGACGCAATATGGCCAGGGTTGATGATTCGGATCGCCGTTCACAAATGAACAGCAGGAACGAAACTCCCAAACCACATGTCACGTGGCCGAAGTAAGCCTTGGGCCTCAGTCTCGACTCTGGGAACTCAGTAAAATCTCAAGTCAACAACCAAAGTATACCACAGTTATGTGCAGCTCTAGTGCCTGGAGGGAGGGAATAAAACTTCGCACTTGCTGCTGCGTCGTTCCTTCCTCAAAAAACAACAACAATAACGACCACATACTGACAAGTAATTTCTAAATTCAAGTATCGAGTGGTGATGCAGCTACTCGCATTCACGTACGCGTAGCAGTCCCATCTCTTCCAACTAAACTAATCTACCAGCAAACCCCTATTGCGACTCCGCCATCCCCATACACCATGACGGTGTGACCCATTAGGTGTGGCAAGGTGTGTACCTTTTCTGCCGAGTGCCGTGAGGCCGTTCTGATGTTGTTCTTCTCCCACACCCCCTAAATAAGTATATACATTGCCGCATAACAGAGATCCAGCGAAGAAGGAGAAATAGTGTACACAGATGCTGGCGCCCATTAATGATGTGATCGAACCGGACGGGAGTGTCTCGAGTAGATGTGTGGCGTGAAGGCCCCAAAGACAGTAATGAAACAAACTAGACGGCCGTGCGTCGGTGCTATGGATTACGCCTGGTTATTTTGGATATGATGTTGTAGGTTCGTCAGTCGTAGCGCGGTGGTGACATCCAACTTTTCTGATGGTAGGTGTGCTCTGTGAATGTACGGAGTTTCTCCGGGTCGTGATGTAGTCGCACCCGTTATCGAGTCCGCAGATGGTGGTTCAAGCTCTTCCCCTAGTTGACGTTCGGATCCGGGTTTCGCACGTTCAATTGTCGTCCGTAGTCTCGGCTGTCATCGATGCTTCCAAGACTTTCCCGGCTGGCGTTCGCGCCATGGAAGGTCAAAACAGCGGTTGGGTTGAGTCGCGAGTCGACTAGGATGGGTTGACTTAATCGGCGGCTCGACGGTGTTACGGGCGTGATCGATTCCTCGTCGTGGCGGCTCCGTTGCGAACCGAAGTTTGTAACAAGCTGGGTCGGTGACTTTTCGCTACGTCCTCCTAGCAGGCCGGCTCTGCTCATGGTGCTCACATTGCGCGAGATCCCAGCGGAACCACCGTCATGTCCGCCGTTTTGCTCGTCTTGCTGCCTCTTCCTCCGCCAGAGGACGAACAGTACACCACCTACGATGGCTAGCAAAGCTATGACACCGCCAGCAACACCACCGGCAATGGCGCCCACGTTGGGACCGCTGTCATGACTGGTTTCCTCGGAGGCAGCCGCGGTCGGAGTGAAGACGACTGTTCTGGTAACGACACGACCGCTTTCGGTTAGGACGGTTGGCGTTGTGACAGGTGCCATGGCTGAGGTCGGTTCATCGTCGGCTTCGGATTGAGTCGCAGATGGCTTTTCGGTCTGTGTGATGTGTTAGCTATGTGCTGCAGACAGGATTGAGAGCAAATACAGTAGAAGAAGAAGTAGAAGACGGTGCCGTGGTGACCAGAGAGATGACAGTCTCCGGGTCAGGCGTCACAGTGACTGGTGGCGGAGCCGGAGCAGACTACCACGAAGTCAAACACCGGTCGCACAATATAGTACGCATAGAAAGCAGGAAAGCCAAGAGAGATGAAAGACAAGAAAGACGCGTGCGAGAGAGGAGGGGGAATACTAACAGTCGGGGCTTCTGTAGGTTTATCTTTCGTCTTCGAAGGTTCGGCGGAGGACGTGGGTTCCGAGCCTCCAATGGTGCCGGATACCTTGCCGTCCATTTGGATGTACATGAACAGGTTGTTGTCCTTGTCGCCGCACTTTTCGGCCGGGAAGCCAGGGCAGTCCTTCTGGCAGTCGCTGATGTCGGCCGTCTCGCCGGGAGCGTAGTTTGAGCACCAGCAGTCGGTGTATTTTAGAACGGCAAAGGCATAGGTACCTTCCTCTTTGCAGTGGTTGGTGCAGTTGCCATTGGATTGGTATGGCCATGTGTCTGAAGACGTTAGTTGTGGAGCGTGGAAGACAGGGTTGAAATGTCACTTACAGACGTCGTCATCGCTGCCCGTGTTTAGACTGGAGCAATATGATTGCGTGAAGCCCTGTGCACTTGCGCGCTGGATGGACGATAGCAGAACAAAAAAGGCGAGGAAGCCCAGCAGCGTCGAGGCGAATCTATGCTCCATGGTGATGGATGTGTGAGGTTGTGGGTGGGGAGGTCGAGGTCGCTTGTATAGGCGCGGTCTTTGTGCGAAGGTCTTGACAATGCTGTTTGTCCCTCGGTAGTGAATGGGCGCTTGCGGCGATGGGGACTTGGAACAGCGATTGAACGCCTCCGACGTCGTGAACGAGCGATGAAGCTGGTGATGGAAGTTGGGAGGGCCTCGAGAGGACTCCAAGTGGGGTCGATGGGTGGAAGTGGTGTGAGGTGGTACGGGCCAGTCGCTGGCAGAAAAGCGCCGGCTCGGTGGGATAGGCTACTGGGGGTGGGCGCGAGGTGTTGCTGGTATGCTTCACACTATCGTCAGCATCGCTGCCCGTGATGGATTGTCGGACGGGTGTCGCCGGTAGCACAGCTGGTGTGGAGAGGGAAGAGGTTGATGGCGATGCGGCTGTTGAGGATGGGAGCTGGTGGAGCTGCAGGACTTACCAGCGCTAAGTGAGGTCTGTGCTGGTGAATGGAGCACTTTCTGGCTAACTGATCTCTCCCGCTTTGGCCGTTAGTTCAAGAGTAGCCTCTTCCGCCTCTTCCGCACTGGCACTAGGTCTGACTCGAACCGCGGTACTCCCTGCACTGCCAACTCTGGGTTTTTGGTTGGCGCCCTGGGTGCTCCGCCGGCGTCGTGGGATGGCTGTGGGTGCTGAAACTCGACGAGGGAGTCGTGTGGTCAAACGTGAAGCACTCGGCCTATCTCGTGGGCATGACGTGCTCAACTTCGGACACCTCGCAGATCACGACTCTTTCGATCGCGATAACGCAGCGGACACGACACACAAGCCGCCGGTGATTCGCAAAGCCGTCTTGGTGCTCCCGTGTCCAGTGTTACTAACGCGGACCCTTTCCCGGAACTGATATGTCTCGCGATAATCGATAAAGCGACCGTCCTGGGCAGTCGACACTACTTCTGATCTGTACCAAACACCACACAAACGAATGTATAAGCGCACTTTCGATAACGAGCGTATGAAGAGAAAAGGGAGAGAATGTAATGGTTGGGTGCACAGCGCGGGACTTGCTGCATGTTTTGTCTTTTGATGCATGCTGATCCTCTGGCACGGGGCATACTAAACACCTCGGTGGCGTCGTATCGGACGCCTCCCTGTCGCTTACACCCAACCCAACCTGCAGCGACATCATCGCTACCTGCAGCCTGCAGTAAACAACATAAGCAGGTGTCCGCGCTATGTACCTGTTGTACCTGCAGCCCTGCTTACTTGACTCTATGCTATAGTCCAGGGTACAAGAAAGGCCATCCCCTCCATGTACCTCCCACCCGCACCCTGTGTACAACCTGCAGAATTCATGCCTCTACCTGTGCGACCTTCCAAAACCAAGTTGAGGCTTGCCATCCCATGAAATGCGCAAGGCGCTTGGGCGCGCATGACAAAAAGCGCCGGCGCCCTCACGCCGTCGTCTAGCAACGGCGTTAAGCCTCATCGCTCCCTCACCACTCAAGCGGCGCGCGAAGAGCACGGCGACGCGCCCGCGAATCGAAACGTGTCAGTCAACGGCACCTCTACGACCCGACAACCAGTCTGCACGCCTGCATCTTCAATCAACATGAAGTCGCTTCCCCCTCGGAAGCTCACTCACCCTATCTCTCCTCATCTCTTTTACGAACCCTCCACTTCAGCCTAAACCCTCCGAGAATTGCCCAACACCACAGTAACCACACAAACACGCGCGCCGACCTTTAGCCAAACACTTCGACGGCCCTACCCACCGCAGCGAAGATGCCGGCCAAGCACCCGCAAGCCACCGCTTGACCACGCGTCTTAGCCCACGCCAGTCCCAAAACACGCCAAACCTAAACGCTCAATTTCGCTAACCGGGCACCGCGCGCTCGCGTCTGTCTCCTGAAAAAGGGCTATGACGCATGCATGGCCAGCCACCACCAGCCCAGTCCAGAAGGAGCACCCCTGGGTATCGATAGTGCGATCGACAGGGGAGCAGGGTAAGCCGTTGCTGCGCATTTTGTATTAAAACTGGAGCGCAGGCCTGGCATGTGCGGCTCGTCAAGGGGCGCAGATGAAGATGTTCACTCGCTCCAAACCTGGCGCTGCAGTCGATTTCGTCATTCCGCGGGCTCAAAGTTGGTAACGAGTGGGTTTTATTCGTGGATGCCTTGATGTGCGGCTGGCATCACTGGATAGGATCGATGTGCTGGCATGTTGATCCGTGGGGAAGTGTGAGATTTTCTTTGATGTGCTGACGACGAGATGGGTTCCCGCTCAGGGTCGATGATCTCAGACTCAAAATACACCTAGTCGACGATCTGATGCTTGGATGTTGGGGCGCGATGCTTACTGAGAAATTGATTGCTATATTCGTCCGTCCGCCTTTACGCCCAAGGCTCGAGGCGGAGGTAAGTCCTTGGACAAGTCTCTCAACGTTTGGTGAGATTGCAGCACTGATACCTGATGATCTCTCTCGATGATACTTTTTGCTTTTGCTCAGCCACTACAGCCTTGACACAAGGTTCATTCCGTTTCGAGCTATCGAACCTGGTCCAAAAGTCGTTGAGATTCGATTTCGATTCCCGGTGCTATAGTGCTCCGAGGTATGGAGTGGGCCGCGCGCTATACAACAGCTGGGATATCTAGTGCTGCCCGAGCGTGCCTGCACACCTCAGTGTCAGCCTGGTCCAGCATCACAAGGACTGTGACCAGCCGTGGTATACATGTTTGTTTTCAGGAAAATGTTGAAGGGCTGAAGCTCTAGGTAGGAATGCAACTGTTTGGCATCAGACGCTGACAGAGAGGCTTGTCTATGTACGCGATAACATAGATGTATACATTGTGCTACGTCCTCTCTGAATCATACTCAGCACTCCTCGGAACAGACGTATACATCATCTGCTATCATGCATATATTGCATCATACATTATACTCAGACGCATACACACCCTTCTATTGCGTCAGTCTACGAACCCGCGGAGACCAAGTACATCCTCATCATCAGATACGCTGCTGTTGAGCGGGGCTCTCATCCACGCTTCTGTTGCTGCTCCGAAAGCTTTCATGTACATGACACTGGTGTAGATGACTTCGCGGAACGACAGACGCAATGGATACGTCTAGGGACGTTTTACCTAGTTACTCACGGTGTGAATCTCGTCATTGTAGACCTCAACAGTTATACGTGAACGAGAATAATCAAGGGAAACGCAATGCAATACATGGCCGGGTCACATACGCTTGAACTGCAACTTGATGTGAGATGTGCCAGTCTCACTACTATACTTGACGAAGACGCTCGTTCTGAAAGGGTTGTACGCGTTACCAAGAGACGCTCTGGTAGATACATCGCCGTTAGATGGACACGACTATAAGCAAGGGATCTGTTGGATGCCTCCACGGCAGCGTCAGAAGGTACAACTCATAAATTCAGCGTCCTCGTAGCCCGCAAAATCGTTCTTCAGATTCCACGTCTACCAGTCTCTACATCTCCTCTCTACAACTTACTCTTCTTCCCGCCCTTAACCCCCGTAACACTCTCCCCACTAAGCATGAAATCAGGATACTCGAACCCACCCGCAAAGCCCGCGGTATGCCACGCGCCACCATCCACAACGAGCGTCTCGCCATTAACAAAATTACCCGCATCCGAGAACAGATAGATAGTCGCATCGGCAATCTCCTTGACAGCTCCAAAGCGACCAGACGGCACGGCCTTAGCCACCTTACTCTTAGCATCCGACTTGGACAACCTCGCCATACCCTCAGTCTCAGCAATGGGTCCAGGAGCAATGATATTGGATGTAATGCCCCGTGGACCTTGCTCAATAGCGACAGACATGGCCATGGCGTCTACACCCGCTTTCGCGACCGAGACGTGGGATTGCATCGGCGTACCTGTGTAATGCAGCGTAGCACTCACAAAGATAATCCGCCCACCCGTCCCATTAGCCGGCAGCGTCGTCCCATCCGTCCTATACCTCCCCGCCGATTCCTTAAGATACGGCAGCGTCGCCTTGACCGTATTATAACTCCCCAACACATCGATATCAATAACGCTCTTCATGGCATTCGGACTGATCTGGTCGATGGTCGCGAGGAAATTGCCGGCTGCGCCTGCGATGACAAAGTCCAGGCTGCCGAGTTCGCGGGCGCACCGGTCGGCGGCTTCTTGCAAAAGTTCGGGTTTGCGCACGTCGATGGCGCCGATGCCGAGGACGCGGGCGCCGGGGCGCGCGGTTGCGATGTCTTTGGCCATGTTTTCGGTTTTCTCCACGTTGCGCCCGATTATGCAGGCGTTGGCGCCCAGGGCGACCATGGCGCGGACTTGGGCCGAGCAGATTGTGCCGGCGCCGCCGGTGCAGAAGACGACTTTGTTGTCTGGGGTGGTTGTTAGCTTTGATGGAGAGGTTGGGCTGTTTGAGCTGTGGTGGTAGGCCAACTCTATCTATCCGCGCCTACTGGGAGGAAAGAAGACGTACCGAAGATGCCATCCCTCCAGACATTGCTCATAAACTGGTACTTCTCCATAGGCATGGTGCGCGGTGTTTTCCAGGCGGGTTCCGTGCTATCAGGGTCGTCGGACTGGAAGCGTGCAGGACTGGCGGTGGTGAGTGAGCAAGTGATGACGTTGTGAGTTATGGTTCGAGCGGATGCACAAATATGGAGTGGAGTATAAGTAGCTGAGGTTGCTCACGTCGAGTGAAAGTTACGGCCGCAAGCCCCGGCTGATGGGTGCAGGATACGCGTTGGTGTTGTAAGCCGAGGTACGACTACTGGCAAGATTACTCTCTTGATGCTTGCGATCCGCCCTGGGCGATACATTGCGCGCATCGAATGCATTTTATAGGTTTGGAAGACTGTGCAGAGTATGTACGGTAAGGAGCGTCCTGACAATGAATCAACATCTTTCTTTCCATAGGGCGTGTGGCCTATGATTACTGATTGACATGTGCTCTTCTCCGCATTCTGGGAAGGGGAAGCTTGGGCCAACTAGATTTCTCCGAAAGATGACAGCCTGCTCCGGATGATGCCCGCAGCATCTCCGCAATCTTACAAGCGCTGCATGCACGTCAACCTGCATTGCCAACAGATAACTCCACGACAAAGAACCCGCGCGATAGACAGAGCAATCCGTTCTCGCACAACCTCACGGTACCATCACAATGGCCGCCCAAACAGTCTCAATATGTAAATTCGTCGGAACAATCACCCTGGGAATCGCAACGGTAAGTCACCAACCCGCCACTTCCCTTCTCCAAGCTCCCCGCTTGAAAGCTATCAGAGCTCCAACCCCCCCCCCCTCCCTATACCAAAAACCCCTTAAAACCCCTCAAAAGTACTGTTCGCATACTAACACCCCCTAGGGCGTCTCAGCAACCGTCTCGACCATCGCCCTCCCCTCCCTCCTCGCCCTCCCCACCGCCATAAACGCCCGCACCTCCCTAATCTACCTCACCACCAAATCCACAAACCTATCCTCCTACCTCCGCCACATAACAACCTTCACCCTCTTCTCCGCCTACTGTCTCTCGCCCGCCCGCTTCCGCCACCCGTACTTGCTGTACACATCTATTTTCTCGTTTGTGTCTGGACCTGGTGTCGACTATGCGGTTGGTCTGACCGAGGGTGGGAACGAGAAGAGGCAGGTTATGGAGTTGGAGGCGCAGGGCGATGAGGTGAATGGCGAGCAGGTGCGCTTGGCGGTGGAGCGGAAGCAGGTGGTTGAGTGGGTTAAGACGGGGTTGGCGGGCGTGGCGTTTGCGATGCAGGTTGTTGGGCTGTGGGGGGATGGCGCGTAGAGGGGAGTCATGTTATCATGGTGAATGGAAGAGCGTAGGGGTTTGCGTGGAGGATCATGGTGGCTGTAGGAGACGGGTGGTGGATATACGATACTGGTGTTCTCTGAGTTTGGAGTAGGAGATGCGGATTGCTGTTGGTGTACTGTATGGTTTTGACTCTCCTTTCTTGGTTTGCGTGCTTGATACATACATGTTTTTGTTAGCGACTACTATTATATCCCTCTCAATTCCTCTTAACAGACGAATATCTCAGTGCACATTGGAAGAGCGTGAATGTCTAGAGCGTGTAAGAGGCATCGAGCTAGAGACATCGAGTGGACGACCGGATTAATCACGTATACCATGAACTGGAGGCAAAGGTATGCTGGTATCTTGAAGGTGATTCATGTTGCTATGACTGAGTATGTAAGAAAGGTGGCTCGATGATAAGAAACTTTTGCGCAGAATAGACCGAGCCCACTCTGTGGACTCACAGTCGCCTGCTGAATTGAACGAAAGAAACCGCTAAACTAATTGCTGCTGTCGCTGAGAGAAGACATCGTGAACGCTGGAAGAAAAGCAAGAAGCACACGCCCTGAATGATACTTTGCATACGCCTGCACGGCGATCGCGGCGTGGTTCCAAAGTGAAAGGCTACCATGCAGCATGGCTCCAACTTTTGTCTAACAGAGAGTCTGAAGTAGAGAAAGGATGATGTGTAGCCACGGCCATCCCGTTTTCGCGCAGACACATTGCGGAATACCTGGGAACCTTGGTTGACGAGTAGATGATCAAGAGCTGGTCCTGAAGGTACACGCCAGATCATGTGTTGTCGAGATACCCTCAAGCAGGCTCTGTCTTGATCCGCTTGGGTCGCCGTATAGTAGGCTCAGGATCCTTCCGCTTGGTCTTCGCCATCTTATCGTAGAAGATGGCTAGGTTGTCTTCGTCATCTCCATCGAACGCGTCGCTGTTAATTAGCGTGAGGGCCATTTCGTCTTCGGGCTTCACCACCGTCTGTGGCAATTTGCTCCTCAATTCCATGGCCTTTTCCTCAAACATCGGGATGTGCTGCGCTAACTCGGCACGGATAGCCTCGCCCTCTTTGGTGATGCGATAATCGATAGGTGCCTCTGCCCGGAGACTTGCGCTTAGGTTCTCCAACAACTTGTCGATGCTAACAAAATGCTTCTCAAGCAGAGTGCGCATCGCGTCGTTGAATTCTAGTTGGAAGCGTTTGAGGACTTGGTCGATGAAGTGTGCGTCTGGGTTCAGGAACAAGTCTTCCATGCGCTTCTTCTGGAACTTGATCTTGGGCATAACGTACCGTTTTGCTGGCTTCTTCTTTCCTGATTTTGCTGGTAGGGGTGGCTTCTCTTCGGGTACCGCTTCGAAAACCTCAGTGTAGAGGTCATCAGTCATGTATGAGATGAGGGTCCTCTCTTGACCGAATTCCATGGTTGCCGATTCGAACATCAACTTCTCCAGCTTGCTGACATCGTCCATCAGCACCATAAGCTTAGCCTGGAGTCGGGTACGCAGCGGTTCCCATTTCTTCTTAGCCTTCTCGATAGTGACCATGTTTGCGCTAGAGTCGTTGATCATTTTGCTGATCTTCATATGGAGCTGGTGCAAGCTCTGGCTCAGTGCTGGTTTCATATTCGCCATACACGACCTGTGCGTATTGTACCACTTGTTGAAACCAGGTGCGAGCAGATCTGCCAGTTCCTTGTTCCAGTGACATCCATCTTCGAGGCCTTTGGCTCTGGATGCGCCTTTCGGAACAACGCCACGGCACTTGACGATCCGAGTGAAAGCCGCAGCCTTGAGTACAAACCATTCCGCGGTCATCTTCTCTTCAAGCTGCTCTTTGAAGTTGGGGATATCCTTTTCAATTCGCTTGATGCTGTCCTCGGAGCATTCCTGGAATGATGACTTTGCCTGCGAGAGTAGTCGCGTCATGTAACCTCTGCGGTGAGCGTCGAAGTCGTCAGCTATCGTTCGGAAACCCCCATCGCGCTCGTTCTCTGCCACTGTCTTCTTCATCTTCTCAATGAAAGCTGAGATCGTGACGTTGATATGGCGTTCGTAGTCTCTCAAGCTTTGTTGTGCTGGCAGTGAGAAGAGAAACTCGCGAATGGCAGGAATACCAGTCATGTCGGGCGACAAGGATGGCTGGTTTGCGAAGGCTAATTTGGGTTTGCGTATCCAATCCATGTACTCAGAGGCGGATGCGTGGAAGATCTGGGGCATATCGTTGGTTGACCTACTGCGAAGCTTTGACGTCAGCTCTGCGGAGATGTTGTCTGCACGTTGAAGTATTTTTCTCTGTTTTCGCGTTCGCTCCAGGTAGATGCGATATGAACCCAACAATCTACGTTCCTTGGCATTGGGCTGATCGTCGTCGTCATCATCGTTGTCTTCGAGCGCGGCTTCTTTCTCTTCGACTTCCTGGAGCAGCTGGTTGATACGGTCAAATTCTCCGCCTTTACATTGAGACAACTGGTTGGAAGTGAGAGACTACAAGAATCAGCAACATCCCAAACTTTAGGAGACTTGTAGTAACTCACATCGATCTTTGTTGCGACAACTTTGACCTTTGAAGGGCCATGGTGAGCGACAGCTGCCCGTGTGCTGTTGATGACTTTGTCGTCAGATGCGATGCGTATTGTGTCTGCCAGAATGATCTCAACGTCGACAGTGTCTTTGATCTTCTCCGCGTGTCGGACTCTTGAGAGATTGATGTCACCCCAACCTAGTGAATGATTAGCTGAGGTTCTGACGAAATATCAGAAAGAATTACCTGGTAGATCAATGATCTCAATCCCGCCTTGAAGGAGTTCATGATGGAATCGGACTGAAATATTGTCCACAAGTGGCCATAAACACTTTTGACCCTTGACGCTGGTCAGAAACGGTCGCAATTGCTCCAGCAGTTCGATTTGAGTATCTGCCATCTTAGTCGCGATGCCCTGAGAGTCGACTTGCTCCTTTTTCAGAGCCTCGTCGCATTTCAGTTGACACAGTCGCACGAACTCCCCTGCTTTGTAATCCTGTACGTTCCAATTCTCGGAAAATTCGTCGTAAGAGCCAAACAGGGTCGTGAAGATGTCTTCTGCTGTGTCGTTGAGGCTGCGATCCATCTGGTCCTGGCCGACGGACTTCGTACGCGGAGACTCCTCATCATCTGAGTCGTCGTCTGCATTGTGGTAGAAGTAGTACGACCGAGCGTGCTCTTTGAGCAATGCCTCCCGCTCCTCTCGGGTGAAGAACTTGATCTCAGCAAAGAACTTGTCCTCGCCCGTCGTGCTCTTCGGATACTGAACATAGCGGGTAATCGAGCTTGTGCAAGCCGCGCCTTCTGCTCCAGTGAGCGAGAGCCCATCACAGTCGAAGATAGCGTTGATCGCCAGGCTCTTCCCTGCACCTTGAGCTCCGATTAAGGCAACCTTGACCGCGGCGCTTCGCAGAACATGAGCAAGCTCAGTGGCGGTACGTAGCAGATACTGGAGCTCTTTGTCGGTATCCGGGGAGCCTTTGAGGAGTTCGATGATAAGGTGCGCAAATGCTTTCAGTAATGCGTCGATGCCAGCTTTGTCTAGCTTCCACCAGGGCAGATCCGGCTTCTTCTCCTTGCTGGCATCGTATCTCAGCGCAACCTTTCGTGTTGGTATGTATGCCGGGAACTCTTCAAAACTCAAAATCGGTTCCAGTTCCATAGCCTCGAGTGGTACGTGGGTCGTGAGTCGTCCCATAAGCTGGTATGAGGAAGGTAAGGTGCTGAAGTAGTATGAGGATGTTGTTGTAGAGAAGAGGTGACAAACGTGGAAGAGGTTTACTTATAAAGTAGAATGGAGAAGTTGATGGAAAGGAAGAGAGAGGACAAGAGTAGAAGAGACCTGCTTATATAGCCAGCCACAGCCTAGCAGAAAGCCACGTGTAGGCCGTCGTGATGAGCGTGAAAGATGAAGGGTGAGAGAGCGTCCAGGCCTGGATGGAGAGGACCTGATGGTGACGAAATGTGTCTGTCCCGCAGTAGGTGAGAGAGGACATGATACCAGACTTCCGAGTCCAGCAGCACAATGTGGATAGGTAATCTCCTGGGTGAGGTAAGTGTAGTTATGGCACAGCAATGGATAACTGTGATAGTTCAACTGGCATGTCATGTGCATACCCACGTATTGACTGTGGCTAGAGATAACAGCAATCCCGTCTTCAAGAGGCAAGTGCGTAGCACATAGCAGATGTCTCAGCCAGATTCGACGCTCCTCGGCGTGACATCGTGTTTGAGCATAGTGACACGTGTCGGTTTCCAAGATATAGGTGATTTCATGACAATGACGAGTATCCTAGGGACCAGTATGGATTTGGTAAAGCAGCAAGTCGAAAGCCATAGGCGCAATCTGGACACGCGCACCTCACGACGCGTCTAACCGCGGGGTAAACGATTATCCAAGAACGACGGGAAGATGCCAGAGACAGCTGCTGCGGTGGTTGTGTGCTGAGCTCAGTAGCGGCATATGTACGCACGATAGTATTTTGCGAACAAGAGTGTAAATTCAGCGTTGGGGAGGAGCAGAGTTCCAGCGTCCCGAGGTCTGCGCGAGATACCTTAGCGCGATCATGTGATAGGCTAGTTCACTTGTGGAAACCGCCCACTGGTCGCCTGCAGGAAACAGTCTGAACACCTTCGTACATACCCACACTATGCCATTTCTTCGCTATCTGTGATCTTGGTACATGATACCTTACATCGTAGGTATGAAGCGTCCTCGAGGTGTTCGTAGGTCTTCCCGTACAGTAAGCACCCATAATTTAGCGCGAACTATCCACCACCGCGACGTCGACATCGGCCAAATACTTCACGTATCGCCATCCTCAATACCTATGTATGCTTCTGGGCAACGAAGCGCTCTCTATGCCACGATACATCTTCGCGTTCGCTGCACGTCTTGGAGCCTGTCGGATGCGGTCGCAACGGCTATATACCACCTGGGCAGTGTCTGCACCAGCTGAAGCTTCCAAGATTTCGTCTGATCGTCGGTTTCGGTGTAAGCCGGATGCATTTATACTTCCATGCGCGTTCATTCCATGTCAGCTAGCCTAGGTATCTCAAGCCTAGTCGGCGGGTCATCTTCTGAAACGCGACGCGACGCGTCCGTGATGCGGTTGGTATGTCGTCCCTCGTGCTTCCCCTTCGAACACAACGTGTCCTCTGCAAAGACATTCGTCCATGAGCAAGCATGGCACATATGGTACCCAGTTCTCCTTTCGCGAGCACTCCTGATTCAGATGTTATCATAGCCCCCGAACACTCTCACGCGGCACACGACAACATCATGAGCTCGCCTCCACGCTCACGTTCTTCAACCCCAGGCTTGAACGACTACGCCGACGAAATTATTCCCGGAAGCGATGGATGCCTCAAATGCAATTCCCAGGGGCATTGGGTTAAGGATTGTCCATTAGCGACTTGCTTCCATTGTCGAGAGAAGGGTCATATAATGGACGACTGTCCTGATAAGGCCAACATACAGTGCCACGGATGCAGCGGCTTTGGACATCTTCGTAAAGAATGCCCGAAAGACGAATATCATGCTAGTAGCAGCACGGTACAAGAAGAATTGCGTGAGACGCGTCGAAAACTACAAGACACGCAAGAACAGCTACGGCGTGCGCAGCAGGAGATTAACCTGCTGAGCGAAGACTTGAAGGAAGCAAACGACAAGCATGAACGCTGGCGCAAATTCGCACAGGGCAACACATTGGATCCCTATGAAGCACTTAAAATGCAAGGACTGCACAAAAGTAACTCGCTTACCGATTTCTTAAACGTTACTCTATAGTACTGACGAGAACAATCAGATCTCCGATACACCCAACTACGCGAGGTTGATCCCTTTGCAGCGGAAGCGCAACTGAAAGTCTACGAGCAATACGTACGGGATTCCCTCAATCAGAATCCAGATACTCTCAGCAGCACGATCAACATACTCGTACACGACATCGACTTCATCATGATCAAGGAAATCGACGGCGACTTGAGGTGGAGATATGACGCAGCCCTCGCTCTCGCAAGGCAGATGTATCGCCCACTGTTGAAGTACGGCTACGGCAGAATTCCATTGGACAACCCCACATGCGTGGCACTGCAAGTTGCCGATATCCAATTGGGTCTCATAATCAGGAATATGCATGGAAATTTCGGAGACGAAGTGGATTTGAGAAAAGTTCTTAATCGTCAGAATGTCCTTAAGACTCACGGTATCACGGAATACTACCCGGATACCACAGTGTTGCTTGAACAGTGTCTTAGACGGGCCGGATAGTTCAATGAATAGATGAGCTCAAGCCTTCGAAGAAGTAGGTTGCGATGGAACTCTCCATATGTACCAGGCACACTTTTTCTGTACTGCTAGTCTTGGAGATAACTTTTCATGTAAGCTTTTGTGGCGTCTTACAAACTGAGGGCTCTTATCCACGGTGCGTTTGAGTGTTCCCCGTACAGAGATAAAACTGAACAGATCTGCAGCCTACACTAAGATGGACACATGCGAATTAGATGGCCTGAAGTCAATGTGGGCTTTAGAGCGTCCATTTTGTCTCTCGAATGGGATGAATTTACACTGATGTCTTGGATCTAGAGCCACCAAGGCCTGGATTTCGTCTGGGCTTGGTCGTCTCATCATCGCGCATTATCACAGCAATAAGAATGACTTGGAACACGGTGGAAGAAAGCCCGTACAGATTTCTCAAATACAGACGTAATTGAAGTGACCCTTCCTATATGCGCGACACTGGATTGGTTGTTGTGGTGGGGTCTGTTGGTGATGGTTTCATGGTACGTTCCTCGCTAATAATTCTCAACACTGCCAGATAATTCATACCTGATAACTCAGCTCACTCATACCATCCCGCCACTTTCATCAGCTCCTCTCGATCGACCTACACCTTCACTGCTCCTGCCTCAACGAAAACGACCTACGCAGACACTCGACATGGCCCCTCCTTGTTACGACCCTAGTTGTAAGATAGAATCTCACATTTGCTACAGCTGTGGGGAGCATGGTCATCAAAGACACATGAGCGAAGATTGCCCTCAACTATCACGAAAAAAGCGCAAGTCGGACTCGAGCGACGACTTGAGCAGAGCGAGCATGTCGACAAACGCAGACGAGAAGATGGAAATGGTAGAAAAAGAGTGCGAAGAGTGGAAGGCGAAGAGCAAGGATTTGGAGGAGAAGTATAGGGAGTTGCAGGGGCAGTTGCAATGGGCGAAGAAGGATTCGGAGGAGAAAGCCAGTGTGGCTAAAAGAAAGTACGAGTTACTAGAGAGGAGTCACGAGATGTTAAAGAAGGAGACTACTGGGGACAAGGATCTAAAGGAGAGGTGCTGCATGTTGGAAGGAGAGAGTGAGGCTGTAGCAAGAAAGAACGAGGAGTTGGAGAAGAAAGTTGAGAAATTGAAGGCAACACTTAAGTACTTGCTGTGAGAAAGGGAGATCTAGAGACGTTGCTTTACCGGTAAGTATCTTCCTACCTGCTATCAAGGCACCGACTTACAAGGGCGACAGACCCAGCATGCATCATCCTCAACACCCCCGTTCCACACCCAGATCAAACGCGACTTCGCTATTCGAGTTTCAATACGCGCGTACAAACGGCAGCCAATCCAGCTTTTACAAAAAGACAGAAAACAGAATTCACGCATGAAGTGCCGCGGTGTAGAAGCCTTCCGCATATCTTAGCAAACATGCGACAGTTTTAGTTAGAGAGGTTTCTACAAGCTTACAAAAATAGAAAAGAGCATAGCAAAGAGACTTAGTGTAGTAAACAAAACTAGGACTCTTATGTAAACTAAGTCTGTACTGTAGCACAAGCAATACTATTCTTATAGAGAAAATCAAGCTAGAAACAATAGATTTAAGTAATTAGAATTGTAATTACTACTCTTATAAGATTAGACAAGAGTAGTATAATATATATAGGTAAGCGCGTAAAATACTAGTACAAAAGAGAGAAAGTACGTAATTAACTTAATAGGTGCTTAAACACCTATTATAATATACTCTCTAGGTAAGCTATATTGCGCGCAGGTTACCTATTTTTAGCTACACGCTACTTACGTAAGCGTTACGTAATTAAGTAAGACTATACGCACCTAGGCGCGCGTAATAATAATAAGGCTAGCGCCTACTAATATTTTTAGCTTTAATAATTGCTAAAATACTAACTATAAGTACTCTCTAGAAGCTTCTATCTTACTCTAAAGCGCCTACTAGTTACTATACAAAGCTCTAGTAGCTTATAAGATTATCTCTAAGGTGCTCTAGATGCTTATAGTGCTAGTTACTACTTCTAGTAAGTAGTCTAACTATAAGCTAATAGCCTATTAGTCTGTAAGCTACCTAATCTATTAGTAGGCGCTTACTATAGCTATTTATATAGATTCTTTAGCTAATAAGTAGCAAAAATAAGTTTAATAGTATCTAGTAGCTATAGCTACTAGCTAAGCTGCTTATATCTACTATAACGCTACTACTACTACTACTGCTAGAAAGGCCTCTACTTCTTAGAATAAGAAAGAGTAAGCCTTAGACGCAGCAGTGCGTAAAGAATAAAAGAAAGAGAAGAAGTAGTCTAGGCTCTCTATTAGTGCTCTCTCTCTATTACGTCTACTAAGAGTAATACTTTATATTAAGTGCGTCTAAAGCGCACTCGCTAGTTATAGCAAAGAACTTTACTTTAACTAGGTAGGTAAGAAGAACGTCTAGTGTAAGTAGTATAGTTATAGGCACTTATATAACTCTATATAAGTCTTTAAGCTTCTAGACTACTATTTACTTACGCTAACTATTTATAGACCTAAGATTATAGAGCTAATAGCTCTTAAGTTTATCTACTCTCTCTAGTTTAGAAGTAAGTAGAAATAGAATAGGCTGCGCGTAGCTATTAAGTTTCTTCTAAATAAAGAGAGGGTCTATAGAATTAGCGCTCTACTAATGTAGGCTAAGTAGCGTAGAGTAGCTTATAGTTATATAGAGACTAAGGCTAAGGTAGATAACACAGCTTTAATAGCCTCTAGTAAAGTTAAAAGCTCTAAGTAAGCATCTTCTCTACTTATGCCTCTAGTTTTAACTAGTAAGGCTAGGTAGTTAGAGCATATAGTAGCTTAATAGAAGCTTCTTTACGCTAGCTATATAGAGAGATAGTAAGCGTCTAGAAAGAAGGCGAGATCTCTTTATCTAGTTATAAAGCGCCTAGAGTAGAGTCTAGTACTACCTTATAAATATATAATTAGACTTACTAACCTTTCTTATACTTATTACTTACCTATAAGCCTTAATTAGTATTCTTATAAGCTATCTATCTAAGATTTAGCTACTTTTTAAAGGCCTTAAACTTCTACTTAGGTAAGTACTTAGTAAGTCTATCTACTAATATATTAATAGTAGGCTTATAGAGCACTTTAAAAGAGCTCTTGCTATACTTCTAGTAAAGCTATATATTCTAGATATTAATATAGCAGAGCTTAGTAGAGATTCTTTTACTACTCTCTACTATAAGCTTAATAGTCTATTAATTGTTGCAAAAGATCTACTAGGCGCTAGTAATAAGTAGCTAAAGCTTAGCAAATAAGCGCTTTAAGGCTATAGTCTCTTTAGTAATAGCCTTAAGAGTAAGAAGCTCTACCTTAGTAGTTAAGGTTATAACTATTAACTAGTAAGTAGTCTACTATATAATTAGACCTCTAAATAGCGTTATAATAAACCTATAAGAGAAGCAGCGCGTCTTAGTGTTATCTATAAAGCTTGCGTCTCTATAGATCTAGAGCTTCTTGCCTAACTTTACCTTTCTACTATACATAATACTCTTATATCGCAAGCAGTATAGGTATATAATAAGATACTCTACTACCTTAAGGTAAGCTAAAGAAGAATTAGTTAAGAACTAAGAGAGCTAGAAAACTATATACGCAACGTTAGAGCGTATTATAATAGTAAAGTATAACACTAAGCTAATACGCTCTTAATAGGCCTTAATCTTCTACTTTAAAGCGTTCTCTTAGTGCTTTAGAAGCTTACTAGCTAGTAGAGGTATCTCTAGAAAGTAGCTACTGTCTTTAAGACTAAACTTCTTTACAACCTTATTAAGGTAGGTATTATAAAGTAGCAAAATAGTGCTTATAGAGTAATTACGCATAATGCGCACCTCTAAGAACTAGTTTACTACTCTCTTATTATTAATCTTGTAGGTCTCTTTAATCTTACTAAGTAGCTTAGTTACCTCTAGATAGTGCAACTTAGTAAATATAAGTAAAATATTATCTACGTAGAAGAGTATAAAGACGCGTTAAGCAGCGTTATAGTATAAATAAGGCTTCTTTTTACTAGCTTATAGGCTAAGCTTTAAAAGAGTATTTAAGAAGTTATTATACTAGAGAAAAGAGCTCTTATGTATACTATAAAGAGCTTTCTTAAGCTTAGTATAGTAGCTCTTTCTCTAAAAGCTATCTAGAAGCTTATAGTACACTAGCCTATTACTACTAACCTTAGCGTTTAAAAAGGCTACTACAACGTTAAGCTACTAGATCTCTATATTAAATTTAGCAGTAATAGCTATTACTAGGTAGAAGAATTGCGTAGCAAGCGTAGTAGTATAGATTAAGTAGAGCGTATTCTTAGTCTATATGTCTCTGCGTACTATAAAGCGTACCTTATACTTTATAAAGTAGCTATTCTTATCTACTTTGTATGTAAAGACCTACTTAAGTAGTAGAGAGCGTTCTTTACTACTTATATACTCTACTTCTTTCTAGGTATTAGCTATAAGTAGCGTATTAATCTTCTAATGCGCTACTACTTTAAACTTATTCTTATAGAGATAGTTGTAGAGGTGCTTCTAAAGCGTTAGAAGCGCTAGAAAGTTATTCTAATAGACTTAGCCTTTATTAGGCTTATCTATAATTATAGTAGTAATAATATAATATAGTATTACGTGCGCGTAGTCTAATAACTAATTAGAAGCGCTGTAGTAGATCTCTAAGTTATTAAGCTACTTAAGGTTAAACAGCAAGACGTAGATATCTATACCTCTAAGATTATTATAATTATTATAACTATCTAAGCAACGCTTGCTTCTATATATAGAAAGTCTATAGACCTTTTTTACGTACTTACGCTTAGTAAGTAGATTTTATAGATTAGGTAAAGAGCTATTAGATACTTCTCTATTCTAAGAGACGTTTATTACTATAGGTAATAGAAGTCTATTGCCTTAGAAGTTATCTCTCTACGCACCTAATAAGCTTACTAATCTAGTTACTATAGACTAGTACTTACTAGAATTAACGTATCTATTACTAAGCTACTTAGTAATACTTATTATATTAGAAGGCTCTAGTGTAGTCTCTAGTAATAGTAGTTCTATAGCGCGTTTAGTAAGCCTTATATATACTCTCTACATCTCTCTAGCCTAGAGATCTGCTTATATAAGACCTAACTCTTCTAGATAAGCTTCTAATAGGCTGTTAAGTAGCTTATCTATTTAGTTAGGTAGTAGCTTACTATTATCTACGTTACCTTGCTAAGAGAGTAATAGAAGCTTATTATAAGTCTCTACTACGTTCTTCTACTTATTCTTATAGAGAATATTAACTATAATATAAGCGTTCTTCTTAGAAGGCTCTTACTCTCTACTATTATAGAAGAGCTGCTTATTAAACATTATATTACGCGTAGTAAACACTTCTCTTAGCAATAGAACCTATATATAGTATATATTAGAAGCTTAATAGCTTACTAAATAACTAATATATTCTCTAGGTAGTATTTTAAAGCTCTTTAGCTTACGTCTAGCTACTCTATTCTTATTTAAGAAATAGGCGTAATACCTATAGGCGTATACGCTACTCTAATTAAGTTATAGATTAGTAAAAGCTCTTCTTATAAGCTTAGGCTAATACTATCTAAAGTATCTTATAAACTACTACTCTAACTTCTTATTAGAAGAGCGCAAGGTATAGGTATATAAGGGGCTTCTATTATAGAGCTAAGTAGTAGTAAGCGCTACCTCTGTCTAGAGGTACTTAGGTAGATTAGCTCTTTCTCTTATCTTAATCTATTTAGTAATAATCTCTTATCTAGCTCTTTTAGCTACTCTATTAGGCTTATAGGTATAAGAAGGAGTAGGCTCTAGTATAATACTATACTCTTTTACCTATACCTTATAGCGTAAGTTACTACGCTATAGATTAGTTAAAGAGTTATTATTAGAGCTAATTCTTATAATAAGTAGATAATAATAAGTCTAGATAAGTGCTTAAAACTTCTTAAGAGCCCTTATTATCTCTTCTATCTTCTTAGAGAAGAGTAGGTAAAGATAGACTTTACTACTATACTTATTCTTAATAAGTAGAATCTACTTCTCTTCTAAGCGCTTTTTAGGTATATTAAAAAAGTTCTACGTAATTCTCTAAAAGAGTTAGAGAGCT